TGCCATACTCCCTCCATTCTCTGTCATGTCAGACTCCTTCCTTCCTTCCTTTCCTCCTTCCCCAGTGATGCCAGACTCTCACTCCTTACTTTTGGGTACCAGACTCTCTCCTTCCTTCAGGATGCCACAATCTCTCTTAAATGAGACTCCTTCCTTGCTCTGTTTTTCCAGATTTCCTCATTTTTCTATGATGCCAGACTCTTTCGTAGAATCATAGAATCAAACAGGTTGGAAAAGACCTCCGAGATCGTCAAGTCCAACCCTTGATCCAACACCACCATGGTTACTAGACCATGGCACTAAGTAACACATCCAGTCTCATCTTAAAAACCTCCAGGGACAGTGATGCCACATCCCCTGTGATGCCTCACTCCCTCTTTCCTCTATGATGAGATTCCCTCCTTCCTCTATGATGCCAGAATCTCTCTTTCCTTCATGATTCCAGAAACCCCTTGTCTGTGTGATGCCTGGCTCCCTACATCCTCTCTGATGCCAGATTCCCTCTTACGTGTATTATGATAAACTCCTTCCTTCCCTCCTTCCTCAGTGATGCCAGACTCTCTTCTTCCTTCATGACGCCACAGTGCCTCTTATCCCTATGATGAGACTCTATGATCACACACTTCTCCCTTCCTGTTTGATGCCACTCCCTCCTTCCTCTTTGACACAAGACTCCCTCCTGCCTCTATGATGCCAGACTCCTTCTTACCTGTACTATGACCAACTTCTCCCTTCCTTAGATGATGCCAGACTATCTTCTTCCTTTCTGATGCCAGACTCACTTCCTTCCTTCATGATGCCACAATTTCTCTTACCTGTGATTCCAGCCTCCCTCCTTCCTCTACAATTCCAGATTCCCTCCTTCCTCTATGATGCCAGACAACCTATTATCTCTATGATGATAGCCTCTTTCCTTCCTTAATGATGCCAGACTCTCTTCTTCCTCTTGCATGCCAGATTCTCTCCTTCCTTCATGATGCCACAATCCCTCTTACCTTTCTAAGTCTCCTTTTTTCCACTATGATTCCAGACTCCCTCTTACCTCTACCATGCCATGCTCCCTCTGTCCTCTTTGAGGTCAGACTCCCTCTTACCTGTATTATGATAAACTCCTTCCTTCCTTTCCTCAATCATACCAGACTCTCTCCTTCCTTCATGATGCCAGACTCCATCCTACCTCTGTGATGAGACTCCCTCCTTCCTCCATTTTTCCAGATTTCCTCCTTTTTCTATGATGCTAGACTCCCTCTTTCCTCTATTATTATGGATTTCTTCCTTTCTTGCTTCCTTCCTCAATCATGCCAGACTCACTCCTTTCTTTACGATGCCAGATTCCCTCTTACCTCTGTGATGCCACAATCCCTATTTCCTCTGTGATGATAGACTCTCTTCTTCCTCTTGAATGCCAGTCTCTCCTTCCTTCATGATGCCATAATCATTCTTACCTCTATGACGAGACTCCTTCCTTCCTCTATTATTTCTGATTTCCTCTTTTTCTAGAATGTCAGACTCCCTGGCCACAAAATTTGAATATTCCAACTATAATACAAGAAACGTACATAAGAATATATGAGATAATCAATTCATTTTGCCCAGAGGTATAAGTGTAAAAAGAAAAAAAATTATTAATTGTGTCTATGGAAACAGGAAGAGATCAAAATTTGTTATCTCTCTATGAAGACTTCATTCTCAATGAGAAAAGGAACTCTGAATGATGACAGAGGAGGGGAACAGATGGTAGTCGTCATTTTCTGTCAAATAACTGCAACACCAAAAGGATGTGCCAGAGTAAACATGTAACAAGAAAAATTCTTGCTACTTTATCTCTCTCTTAATAACAACTAAATATTTAAGTTCTCTTTGGATTTACTGGCTTCATCTAGAATAGTGCACTACCTGTACCCACCACATTAGAGCAATTAACACTCTTGATGAAGCAATCAAGAGTACTAGGTCCTTCAACAGAGCTTTGGTTTTGATTCATAACGCATCACCATTTAACCTGAGAAAGAGTTGTCCTCTATCAGAGAGCAAAACATACACAGGCTACAGACACAGAAAAAACTAGGAGAGAAATAATTACGTGTCTTCACTACAGAATTCACAAGATTAAAAAATTTTACTGCTGGGTACAATAAATATGAGAAGAATTGCTTGAGATAAAGAAAGAACAAAAAAAAATTTGCTGAGCATTTACTTGTGTTGTGGGTTACACCTAATAATCTGTAACAGAGATGTTCCAAAAAAAAGTTGGAGGAACGTTCAAGAACAGCTCACTTTTCAGAGGAGAGACCTAGAAAACAGCTCCTGTTCTTTAACCCAGCAGGATCCCTTCATAAACATGACCACATTCTGGCAAATACACTATTGAAAAAAGCACCTTAAAAAAGCATGGCTACCACAATTCCCACAGAAATATTCCCAGCCCTGCCAGTCAGAAAGCATTTAATCAATAACAATAGGTTTAAATATATATATAAAAGCTGATAATGCTGCTTTAGAAAAACAACCATAAACCCCAGGGTATATTCAAATCACTGTCAGCCATCCTGCTATGTCTAGCATGACCAAAATATTAAAGCAAATGTCATTTTAGAGGTAGATTTTTTCTGCTTTACTATTTATGTAAATACCCATTTACACACACAATGATGCTTTTAATTAAAAATAATGTGTTCAGACGAAGAATCCAGGACTTTTCCAGTAGTACTATTCAGAAGGGAAAAAAGTATTTTCAACATTAATTACAAGCAGACCAAAGCTCTTCAGAGAGAAGCAAGATGCTCTACTTTCCAAGTGACTTTTCTTTAGGGACTCACACAGTAATTAGAGAAGTATTTGCCACATTCGGATCTTGTACTTTAAAGAAGACTGCCCTGGTTCTGAGATTGCGCATTGCATGAAGAAAATACTCTTGCAAGCCCAGTGAGGTAGTGCACACTCTGCCACAAAGGTAAGGCTTTACCTCTGCTCATATGGCCACAAAATTTGACTACTCCAACTAAAATACATGAAATGTGCATAGGAATATGTGAGATAATCAATTCATTTTGCCTAGAGCTATAAGCTGTACTTCACCTACCACCCCCATCCCTGCTTTATTACTTCTTCACTGACAAATTACTTGACAAACTATTACTGAAGCAACAAGAATTTCTGGGAGTATTACCATTCCAGAATTATTACCCCAAACCTTTTATTTACCTGTTGTAATTACTCAGAACAAATTGGCCATGTATATTCTACTAAGGAGCCTGAGCTTCTTTCACAGTGCTTACCAGATTAAAACATTGCCATTTTATGCCTAAAAATACTAGGTAAATCTGAAGGTTTTGCTGAAACCCAAATAAACAAACAGGTTGAAAGCACTATATAGCCCTGCAGAATGATCAAATATATAAAGTACAGTAGACCAATAGGGGAGGGGAAAAAGGCCTTTTAAAACACCCAGTAATCAAAAATCTATTTTGGACAATTCATACAGACAAATTTCATGTGGATTTTGGCTACACTGGTTATTACCAACTGTGCTCTATTTCAAATTATTTACTTCAACACCATGATTACACATATGAAAAAAATAACAAACTCTGGAAGAAATAACAAAGAAGTAGAGTTTAAGCAAATCACACACATTATATGAATTCAGACTGGAAAAGATGTAGAACAAAGAGTCATGAACTTGACACTGCGCCAGAACCTTCCCCACAAGGACTTCAGCTCTGACAAAGATCTAATCCTTGTCCTTGGACAACTTCAACTGTGGATTGATTTTCAAAGCTGCTTAATTGCTTTTGGGGCCTATCTTCCATCGATTTTCAGTAACCATTAGCAATTTGTGCACTCAAGTCTCAGTTTTAGCTTACTTCAGACAGGAGTAATATCCGCTTCAGGGGAGAGGCATGGCTTGTCCAAAGAGTAATGCCAATCAAAATATTAACCCTGCATTTGTCACTCTGTAAGTAAACTTGAGACACTGGCCTCTAAATCTTGTAGGTTCACCTACAATAACTGGGCAAGTTGTCTTATTTTTGATGAAGCTATGATATGAAGAGAAGAGAGAAGAGAGAATGCCCTAATTTAACAGAGCCGGAAAATTAAGCAATGTACTTGATTATTGTATGTTGTAACTGATGGGCAGACAAAATCCCAACTGAAATCTGACAAACTGAACCAAACTTAAGGGGAGTACATCATTTGCTTAGTCTTTGCAGATTGCTCAGTTATGCAACAAAATATGGTCACTAAACTTAAAAGGTTTTCTTCTCATCCCTAAAAGGCTTGCTCAGCAAAGGGAACTATGTATACAGTACTCAATCAAACAATTTTCAGGTTTAGCAAATTACCCCTAAACAAAATATATAAATAAAAGTTCAATTTCATATCCCCATTTTGAGATGAGCAACAAAACCAAACCAAAACCACTTATATGCCAATAGTTTAAGCAACTTACTCTAACTAAACTGGGAAACCAGGCCGCATTCCCGAGGAAAGTTAAATAAAATCGTTGTTGCCGTAAGTAGTGTCAGCATTAAGGCCAGCTTATGAGGAACCTTTACCTGGACAAGCACCCCTGGCTCCAGCAAGCCGTCGGGAATGTCACATCTACGCTCCCCACAAAAACGCAGATTAGGGCTTTCCTGTTCCCCAAATCAACCTAAGTATCCCCACTCGGCGTTATCCAGACTTTAGTAATTCGCACTGTTAATGCGTGGATGCCTCCAGCTCCGCTTTCCAAAGCACTGGCATTTTCGGCACGCAGGCGCAGCGCCCGCTCTCCCGCAGTTCGGTGCCCGCAGGCTCCAGCACGCGGAACCGCTTGGAAAAGTAATTCCGCTTACTGGATGGGAAGTTTTAGGCTCTTCCGCCTGCCGGGGCACCGTTCACCTCCCGTTTGGGAACTTCACAACCCCCGCAGCAGCGCGGGGACCCCCCCGCTCCCAGCCCAGGGATATAACGGGACCCGCCCCGGGGGGACACCGGGACCCGCCCGCTCTCACCTGCCGCGGTCGGGACCGCACTTCCCACTCCTCCCCTCGCCTCCCTTCGCTGCCGCCGGGGCCGCCCCCGGCACGCCGGGAGAGGGGCACGGCCCTGGCCGGGCCCGCCGGGAGATGTAGTCCTGCCGCGGGGGCGGGAGCTCCGGGACGACCCGGGCACTGACCGGGACTCTTCCCGGACTCTTCCCGGCCACCGCCGCCGCCGCAGCTGTGCCCGGACGAGCCCAGGGATGCGAAGGCTTTGTCCCCTTTGTCCACCGCGCTGGTGGATCTCTGGAGCGCTCAGGCAGCTGGGAGCTCAGCCTGAGCTCCAGAGCACAGGGCTCACGGCGGGTTAGAGAGTCCAGCCCAGCGAACACTGACCTACCGTTGCCATGCCAGAGTTGGGGCACGGCCGGGCAGCCATCAAGCGGTACCACCTGTGAGCTTCCTAAATGGCCTCCCAGCCAATCTCAACTGTGCTCGGTGCGCTGGAGTGGGGCTGACTGAGAGAATCACATTTTAGACTGTTGTAGTAGGGCTGACTTGAGAGAATCACGTTTTAGAGTGCTGCACCTCCCCAGCTCCTGTGCTGTGCAGCATGACTACGTGCCCAACAGAAAACACGCTGAGAATGCATCTGACAGGGGTTTATTTTTTATGAACCTGTACTGTTCAAGGCCTGTCTTCCAAACTTGGTCAGAGAGATGTTAAATTCTTGATTGACTCTTCAAGGTTTTTCCATTCAATCTCAGTTTTCAACTATCGTTTCACTCCTAAGTTCCAATCTTCCTCTTTTCATCACCTCCATGCCATCTCGGTTCTCTTGCTTGTATTGTGGAAGGCTCAACAGATGGACTTGTGATCATGGATGATGATTCCTTTCACATCTTTTTCAACCTCTTGTACCCAGTCATCCCAGTCTGCTCAAGTAGTCCTTTGCCCAGAGTATTGGGTGTAGTTCTCATGATCTTTTGCTATGAGCAGCAATAGTAGCTAAATTTAAAAAGTAATCTGCTTTAAAGCAGTATGTGCCTAAACTGTTCTGCAAGTAAGGCTTGTCCTTTTTTGTTGTTTTCTTCTTCCACACCAAATGTGCTGGCTGAGTTCTGCCCCTTCTGGGGCATCTATCTGCACAAGCAGCTCCATACTACTTTTCTTGAGACACCAAAAGTGTTAGTAGTAATCTATCTTTCTTCTGTAGGACTACAGGGATTTCACAAACGTACAAATAAGACTATGTTGAATTTCACAGTTTCTCAGATAACTGCAAGAGAAGTGTAGTGAACAGAACAAAGGTTTCTATGTAACCTTTGTTGACCTCACCAAGGCTTTCGATACTGTGAGCAGAAAAGGTCTATGGCAGATTTTGGAATGCTTAGGTTGTCCCCCCAAGTTCCTTAAAATGATCATCTCACTCCATGAGTGTCGTGGGGTAACTGTCGTGGGGTCTTGGTCTGTGGGGGAAGAAAGACACACGACACATAAAGGTAGTGAGACAAAGAGATGTCTGCCTGCTCAGCGCAGCAGGCAGCCTTTATTGAGCTTGCTAACTTCTACATTCCCACACACAACATCCAGGAATTCAAAGCACCTGCACATTATCAGACAGTCTTAACCTTGTACTCTTTGCAACTCAAGGCTGTGTCCATGGAAACTATCTACTTAGCTTCACTGCTCCCATGGAACACAGCCTAACTTTTGCAATACCTCAAACTTCAATTGTGGGGCTACGACTTCACCCTACACATGAGGATCAGCACGGCCGAGTCAGATATGGCAATGCACTTTCTGAGCCCTTTCTAATTACCAATGGAGTGAAACAAGGCTGCATTCTCGCACCAACTCTATTCACGGTCTTTTTCAGCATGATGCTCCAAAGGGCCACGGCAGACCTCGATGATCAGGACGGTATCTACATTTGATACCGTACTGATGGAAGCCTTTTCAACCTAAGGCGACTGAAGGCCCACACTGAAACCTTAAACCATCTTGTCCGGGAGCTGCTTTATGCTGATGACGCCGCTCTTGTTGCCCACACAGAAGCAGCTCTGCAGCGTTTAACATCCTGCTTTGCAGACGCTGCTGAGCTCTTTGGGCTGGAAGTCAGCTTAAAGAAGACAGAAGTTCTCTATCAACCTGCACCTCAGGAAGTCTTCCATCATCTCCATATCACCATTGGCGAATCAGAGCTCAAATCAGTCCAGCAGGAGCCTCATCTCCTTGGATGGTAAGATTGACAGAGAGATAGACAACAGGTTAGCAAAGGCATATAGTGCTTTTGGAAAACTCCATAAAAGAATATGGTGTAATAAACACTTGAAGAAAAGTACCAAGATCAGTGTTTACAGAGCCATAGTGCTGTCTACTCTCTTATATGGACCTGAATCATGGGTCATCTACTGCCACCACCTGCACCTCCTAGAACGCTTCCATCAACGCTGCCTCCGTACAATCCTAAACATCCACTGGTCAGATTATGTGACCAATACATCTGTTCTAGAACAAGCAGCAGTCACAAGTATTGAGGCCATGTTGCTGAGAACACAGCTGCGTTGGGCAGGGCATGTCTAAAGGATGAAGGACCACCGCCTCCCTAAGATCCTGCTTTATGGTGAACTTGCCACTGGCTGCCACATGAGAGGAGCCCCGAAGACAAGATACAAGGACTCCCTGAAACAACATCTCAGCCTTGGCCATATTGACCACCATAACTGGTCTACTCTGGCCTCCAATTGAAAGGTCTGTAGACACACTATCTATAAAACTGCTGACGCCTTTGAGAAAGCACGCAGGATCACTCTTGAGGAGAAAAGACAACACAGAAAGAATCGTGTCTTGCAGAATATACCACCTAAGGAGTCTTTCTGCTGTGCCTTTTGCAACCGGACATATGCCTATCTCATATTGGCCTTTTTAGCCACCGGCGTGCTTGTAACAAACGTGGGTAGAGCCCTCCCCAAATCCTCGTTTGCAAAGCCTAGCCAATGAATTTCACAGTAAACATAACTTTTATAGGATGACAGATAAAAGTGCAACTGGATTACGTGCCACTGTCATAACACTTTATTACAGCTACCGTATAGATACTTGTCATGGTTTAAACTCCAGCTGGCAGCCAAGCACCATGCAGCCACTCACTCCCCCACCAGCAGGATCAGGGAGAGAATCAGAACAGGAGAAGTCAGAAAACTTATGGATTGAAATAAAGACACTTTAAGAGGTAAAGCAAAAGCTGCACACAGAAGAAAAGCAAGACAAAGAATTAATTAACTGCTTCCCATAGGCAGGCAGGTGTTCAGTCCTCCCCAGGGAAGCAGGGCTCTATCCCATGTAACAGTTACTGGGAAAATAGTAATTCCAAACTACCCTCCCTTCCTCCTTCTTCCCCCAGCTTTATATGCTAAGCATGACACCATTTGGTATGGAATATCCCTTTGGTCAGTGGGGGTCAGCTGGCCTGGCTATATCACTTCCAAATTCCTTGTGCACTCCCAGCCTCCTTGCTGGTAAGATGGTGAGAGAAGCAGAAAAGGCCTTGATGCTGTGCAAACACTGCTCAACAATAATAAAACATCTCTATATTATCAACACTGTTTCCAGCACAAATCCAAAACAAAACTCCATACTAGCTACTGTGAAGAAAATTACCCCAGCCAAAACCAGCACAATATTCTATTAGACTACTTTAATGAAAAATTGCATTTCTTCTATCCCCTGTTTGTTATAAAGATGCCAATTCCAATCTCCAGTTAGCCAGTAACTCTCCAGCCTCTGCAGGTTGGTGAAGAGGTAGTGCCATATTTTATCCAGGCTGTCCCATGTTCTGAAAACAGGTGTCTTCAGTTATCCAGAAAGGTACCCTGTCACCTCTGATGGCCTTACAGTTCTTCCTTTTTTGAAGTGGACAGGGTCAATCAAAGTACCTAAAGTACATATTGTGCAGATATCCCTCTGACACGTCTTCCTGTGGGTGTCTACCCTTGTAAATTACCAATTCACTTAATATTAGTTTTTTCTGTGGTTTAACAGGACCAAACACTTAGAGAGATGGTTTAGTGGTGGGCTTGGCAGTGCTAGGTTAATGACTTGACTTCACAATCTTAGATGTCTTTTCCAACCTAAAAAATTCTATGATTCCCTATAGCAATAGCAGCAGTAAGGAGCAATGAGCAAAGTTGGTTCCTCAAACACAGAGAGAACAGAGGAAGATCATATCAGGTTTAGTTCCTACATGTGTTCCTCCTAACTGGAACTGGTTGGGCTGCTTATTGTGAAAATTGTACAACTCAGAGGAAAACATAGAGATGCAAATGCCACTAAAGCCAAAGTGACAAACCGTGTCCTGGGGGGCATCAGCCAGTCATCAGCATCACCAGAGGGAGGTGATTGTCCCACTCTGCTCTGCACTGGTGTGGCCTCACCTTGAATACTGTGTGCAACTTTGGGCACCACAGTGTAAGCACAACGTAAAACTAAGAGTGTGTCCAGAGGAGGGTGACCACCCTGGTGAAAGCCCTCAGGGGGAAGACTTAGTAGGAGCAGCTGAGGTCACTTGGTTTGTTCAGCTTGGGGAAGAGAAGTCTGAGGGATGACCTCATCACAATCTAAAAACTCCCTCAAAGGGAATAGTGGAGAGGGAGGAGCTGATCTCCTCTCTCTGGTGATCAGCAATAGGACAAAAGGAAATGGAATGAAGCTGCATCAGGAGAATTCAGATTGGACATTAGGAAAAGGTTCTTCACAGAGTAGCCAACCACTGAAACAGGCTCCCTAGGGAAGTGGCCATGGCACCCAGCCTGCCAGAGCTCAAGGACCATCTGGACAATGCTCTGAGTCATATGGTTTAGTTTTAGGTGGTCCTGGGAGGAGCAGGGAGTTGGACTCAAGGATCCTTATGGGTTCCTTCCAACTTGAGATATTCTGTTATTGTAAATAAGAGAAATGGAAAACATTAGCAACTCTATGGTCTGGCATTCCTCAAAGTTATTTTTGCTTTAGAGTCGAGCTGAGGTAGAGCAACAATACACAGCATTATATCCACCTTTAGCGCAGCTGGAGTTTGTTACAGAAATTAAGGGGAGGATGTGGCTGTGATAGAACCTTATGGGACTGCTGGTGTGAGGGGAACTGCAGGGACTT